GCAGTTCCCACAGGGCAAATATTTATCAAATATTACTCTAAGTCTTTCCTTTACATTTATTTGCAGATTTTTTTTTTCCAAATAAAGGCAAAACTTCCTAAAAGCATCCCTTCATCTATTGTAATTTAATGTGCATTTCCTGATAGGGTGACAGTCATGGCCTTTAAGATATACAGAGCACACGGTGAAACCAAACAAAAGAATAATTATTAAACATAATAGCTGATTAGAAATTGAACAAGATACACTGAATGTATCATAAATATTTATTAGAGAGAAACCATGGTAATTAATAAACCTAGCATCTTGAAGGCCCTGCCATGGCAAGAAAAACTTCACAATTCACCCACCAATGAACCACACATGACCCAATTAATATTTTAAGCATGAAAATCAGAATGTCTAGTCTGACTAGTACAAGTGGGTAAGAGAGCAGGACAGTTTCACATCTAGAATCCTCCTTACACTGACAATTTATGGTCTCCAGTTCCAATGGCTTATCATAGCTACAGGGTAATTTCTAAAAGACACAGAATGTTGTCTTTGGATTAGAAACATCTAACCCCTTGAAACACCGGGCAAATTACTTAAATTCTCCACACCAACTGTATGGCAGAAATAACTCCTAAGAGAGCGGTGAACACACAGATGTGAGGACATAAAACATCCTTATAACAAAGTACACGGGAACTCAGTGCATATTCAATCACGGGCTCGTCTTCCTCTACTACCGTGCTTCCCCCCAAATAAGACACTGTCTTATATTCATTTATTTATTTTTATTTATTTATATATTTTTTGTGGTTTTTGGCTTGGGCTGGGTTTGAACCCATCACCTCCAGCATATGGGGTTGACGCCCTACCCCTTCGAGCCACAGGCACCATCCTCTTATATTTATTTTTTCTCAAGACACACTAGGGCTTATTTCCAGGGGATGTCCTCCTCTCCGCACCGAAATGCATGGCATGGCTATGCAGCATATCTGCATCACTAGGTCTTATTATCAGGGTAGGGCTTATATTTAACAAATGCATAGAAATCCTGCTGGGACTTATTTTGGGGGTAGGTCTTATTTTCGGAGAAACATAGTATTACTGTTTCTAAGTTTAGGTACTTGTATAATTACAGCCACAACCATTACTACTTTATTTCTGCAACACTGCTAAGCAAGGGTTACTTCATCAGTGGGCACATATAAACAATAATAACTCTGATTCTTCTGATCTAAGATGGATAAAGCCAACTAGAAAAACTTAAGCAAAAATGAAACGAAACAAAAGATGTAATAAAAACTGAACTAATAAAGCAAATAAGGGCGGCTACAAATTTGAAGAGTGGCAGAAAGAAATGAAGTCGGTTTTTCGTGGATCTGCTGTGCTCTGCCAGGGACTGCAGGGCCACATACACACCTTGGACATGCTTGGACATCAGCGACAAAGTGGAGGGGGTCATGGCTGGTCTCTACTCCCCATCCTACACATCTGCTCTCAACTCTGAAGGGGGTTAGTTAAGATAAAAATTAGAACACAAGAGTAAAAAGAGTAGGTATATTATAGACGTACAGGCTCTAGAGTTGAAATCCTCAGTTTGAAAGCCGGGATTTAAAATCCTGTTCTGTATACTACTAGCTGTGTCCTTGGATCGGCTGCTTACCCTCCCTGGGCATCAGCGTCCTCATCTGAGAGTGGGTATAATAACAGTACCTTCTTTCACAGGGCTGTCGTGGGGACGCAGTGATGCACGTAAAGCCCTTAGCACAGTGTCTGACGAAGACAAAGGGCCACGGCCACGGTTATCTCATTTCAATGTGATTCCTGCCATTGGACTAACTCTACCTCACAGTCAGAACAGTGCTCAGCATAATCACAGGCCCTCACATTAGCATTCTCCAGGGTGTTCCAATCCAACTCCCTGCTTGTTTCACCAGAGTGTGCACGGTTCCTTGTCCATCTCCTGGTAATATTATTTCCATGAGGCCCCTTCATTAGACACAGAAAATCAATACACCCAGGAAGAAGAGCACAGGGCATTCTCACCACTGTTAACAACGGCGGCAGCGGCTACCACTCAAGGGCCTGTGAAGGGTCAGATTTATGCACCTTACCTCACTGAATTTTCACAAAAACCCTATGAGGTAGGTATTATTAACCCCATCACTTTATAGGTAAGGAAAGTTTGAATAAGTTCAGTAACGTCACCATGTTAATCACACAGTAGGTAACGGAGAGCTGCAATTTGAACCCAGATCAGTTCAGTTCAGATCGGTCTTATCCCGGGCACTTTCAAGTGCATTATGTTGAGGTCGACTTCCAAGGGAAGCGTAAGTAGGAACGGAGTTAAGAATGAGAGAAGGGTGCTTTCTGATCCAAACATTCAGTTCATACACATTGAGATAACAGCAGGCCAAAGTCCATTCCGTGCCACTCGGCATTTCACTCTCTCTGTCATCCATTCTCAAGTACATTGAGCATCAATTGTGCACCAGGGATAAAAATCACCTTTGAAGGAGGCTGACTTTAGAGAGAAAATCATACATATACGTACATATATATTTATATAGAATGATATGATCAACACATTAACTGAGGAATAAAGGAGCGTGCTGGGCAAAAGGGAATCAGAAAAGCTCCAATTACTTTCTCAGCTGGCATCTACCCCTAAAATAAGAATTTAAGAGAAAAAGCCCGACACTCATTTCCAATGCCTTGTTACTCTTAGTAATACTGATGAGCAGAATTTTAAGCTCCGTAGTGATAGTTCTGACTCCTCTATATTCAGAAAACTGCCAGCCCGTAGATAATCTTTACCCTCGTATGTTATGGGGTAAAGCAAGTATTTACCCAACTTTCAGACCGATGGGAGGAGAATGTACAGTGGATGGTCCATGGCAGGATCCCCCAGCCATCGTGCTTGAAAGTTCAGAGGCTGTGTACAGACCTCAAGCACCCCAGGAGTCCTGAGACATGTTTCTGTCCATGGCTAGACCAATATACTCTGAAGGACTGAATGATAAGTGGAAAATTTATCATTTACATTTTATAAAGTACCATTTCATACGGTAAAGAGTGCCACTTACATGAACACAGCTTAATTCGGCCCTAAAATCCTGGAGGGATTTCCATTATGCCCACACCACAGAGACGACTGTTACAATTGTGATTCTTTCAGAGATACCAGACACTCTTCAACACTCATTCCTCTAGTAAAGGACAAAGCAATTGCCCCTTAAGAAAAATAAGCAGAAGATACAGGAAGCATTGATTTGGAAAGATCAGCTAAATGCTTAGAGATTTAAGAAGATCAAAGCTGAAATGGTAAATAAGAAATGTAATAATACACTTTAAGAGCTAAAGTTTTTTCAAATGATATTTTAAAGTAATAGGCTAATGTAACATGTTCACATGACAAACTGGCAACAAATGATCAATTGGATTCTAGAGTATATATCATAGGAGTAATAAGACGATACCCTTTCAATTAAAATGCTAAGGAAGATGTGAAGTGCTATTAAGATTGAGCTTTTCCTAGAAATGCAATAGTTTTAAAATGAAAGTCAATAATAAAATTTACTGAATTTTCAAAGTAATTATGACATGTAAAAAGTCATTTCAACAGTTAAGTGCCATTAGAATAAACAATAGAACACCACAAATAAATAAGAATTAAAGTAATATATCCAAAATAAAACAATGGTAACAAGGTATAAGAAAGAAAATGACCATTAAACGTCATTTTTAGTGTTTGACATAGGAGTTGCGCGCCTCTGTCAGAAAAGTGAAGGGCAAGCCATTTACCTTGAAATTTTACTTACATATATGTACTCATCATTCTCTATAAATTTAACTAGATACTGTTTTCAAATTGGGAACATAGAAAAAAGATTTCTTGTAAATTATAACAAACTGTAGATCAAACTTGAATACATCTTTTAACATAGTGCCTACTAAAATCAGTTCACCTCAATCTTTTTATTATTATGAAAACAACTGTGCTTGGGTAGAAGATAATTTCTGAGCTGTCACACGCTGTGGAAGCTCTAATGAGTTCCACAGACGCGTTCAGTTCTCCATCTGAGGGAAAAAAGGACTTTTAAGAAGATTTCATTATGAAGATACGTATACTTTTAATAAACTAGATGTCATCGACCAGGATGGTATAGAAATCTATTAATAAAAATCTTTAATTAACAATCTAACATTTTGTTTTAGCTATAGTGATGAATGTGCTTTTAGTATTTTTTTTTCTTTCATAAAGAAAAGTAATAGGGCAGCACCTGTGGCTCAAGGAGTAGAGCGCCAGCCCCATATACCGGAGGTGCGGGTTCTAACCTGGCCCCGGCCAAAAACTGCAAAAAAAGAAAAGTACTAAACTAATATTTCATTGTTCTTGATAAGGTGTTTAATGACAACAATTTCAAGAAAAATCTGATAATATAAACAAAAGAAGCTTAAAAAAATTGACAGTGAAAGTTGAAAAAAATGAATCCAAACAGAATGTATTAGAATCCCTCTTAAAATCAGATGTACGTAATTTATAGATTTCTCACTTCATGTACATATAAACCAGTGATTTTCAACAGGTGGGCCATGAGAGGATCTTAGGTGTCCTGCAAAACTCTTTAAAGATCATTAATTAATTTTCTAAAGAAGTTCAAAGCAAGCACAGTAAATATATTCTTCTTTCTTACTTTTTTTTTGATCAACATAATGTAAGTGTGCCATGTTAAGATTAATTATAAGTTCAAGTGTGCTATGAGATTAAAAAAAAAAAAGTTGAAAAACACTGATATAAACTCTACTCAGTGACATGTGACTAGAAATTTAGCTGGCGAGAGTTTTATTCTTCACTGACCGAAACGAATCAGAGCCTCTGCAGCCAGCCCGTGTGGGAGCTGCACGGCCACCCTGTCTCAGACATCCTAGTCTTTCTACTGCCATCTTGGCCAAGAAATGTGGGGGAAATGCTAAAACATAATAACATAATAATTTAAAACATGTACCTTTACTCTTTGGTCATCAACATCTGTAATTGTAGCAACTCGAATTAACCTGGGGTTTCTTTTATCCACAACTTCAAGTTTCATATTTGGCTGAAAACCATGACGCAACCTCTGTAACATTACAAGTGCAACAAATCATGCAAAATTCCGATATTCTATGAAATTTTTTCTAAAACATTAGTTTTAACATGCAGATGTTCAATGCAATGGGAACTTAGTTTCAAGAGCACATAGGACTATATACACAGTCTGGTTTTATCCGGTTTCACAGAAGCCTGTGAGAAGGGAAAGTTTTTTTGTTAATTTTAAACATAGCTAGGACTAAGACAGGTTAAATCGTAAACTTGCTAAGCATCACACAAAGGCTCATAAAGGATCTTATTACAGTTTATATATTTGATTAGATTTTTTCTTTTTTTCTGAATTTAACCTTACAAATTAAGAAATTATTGACTATTACCACTGCACAGTTTCAAAGTATGGGCTAGAAGGCAAAATTATTTAATAAGTAATTAGAAAGACTAAATATGATTATGCATAAATCTAAACTTTAAAATAAATAAAAAAATTTAAAAAATTAAATAAAGTTTAAAATATTTTTAGATAAAAGCTGTGTAATTTCAACTCTTACATTATTTTACAATCACACTATGATATAATGTAAAGCCATAATTTATGTTTTTGTCACCTTATCTGTAACCTAAGAGGGTTGATCTGTGTGAAGGGATCTTTTACATCTTAAAATGCGGGGGACGGACAGTGTCTAAGGACAGACACCCAAGCAGCCATAAAGACACTATGATTTACCAAAGCAGCCAAACCAAAGAAATTTTATTATCAAAAATCCAAGTCAAAAGACAGCTCTGACAGTTTTTTATAGGTTGGCAAAAAGTATCACTCTGAAAGCCACTACAGGTAAGAGTGTTCAATTGACTTTACTGGAAATTCAAGTGCACTGAATTTTTCAAGTCCAGAAAGGACAACGGGAAAATAGAACAGACAAATCTTTCTCCAACATCTGGTATTTTCTCTTCTGCTTTTGTGACGACATATTTTCTTCCTATTAATAAAGTGCATTATCACAACCACTAAATGGAGTACACTAGACACATGTAGGTCTCTGATTCCTGAGGATCTTTCTGTCCCCCAAGGTCACTGTCGGCAGCAATAGAGGTCCACATGTTCCCTACTCTAAAGGCCAAAGAACACACCTGAGCTGAGCCTCCAACAACCTGGGACAGAGCCTGGAAATTGCCTCTTAGCTAAATCTTTTCCTGACTTTGTTTTCTTATAATACTCCTCTTGGAAAAGTAAATAAAGCTTTGGAAGAAAGCGAGGGAGAAAGAGAGACTGCCAATACCTGCGCAGTTTGCTGCTCTTCAAACACGTCCGAGTGCCCCAGCACTTCGGCCTGCCTCATTTTAGTACATGTGTATTTTCCAAATCTGGACTATTACAATCAATTAAAAAAAAAAATGAAACAGCAGTTTGTTTCAGACCCCCTTTGATCTCTAGAAAACGTCCAATAAATTAAATCATGTGTAGAAGCCCAATGGGTAAAATTCAGATTAAAGACGGGCAGCCAGAGAGGCTGAAGCGCATGAGAATTAAGAGGAAACAGTTTGAAAACCACTGGTTTAGAATATAAATCCCTCTAACTAGGTTATCTATGTACTTCCTTTTACAAATTATACTTGATTCAACCCTAGAATAAACATGTAAGTATAAATTTGAACTCTAAAAATTGGCATTCTAACAAATGCTGAGAAATGTTCCCTGAAAACGGACAAAACTATACACACAGAGACTACACCCGTTTCACCTCCTCTGTGATGGCACCTTCAGACAATCCCCGAGAGAGTGGTGCTATGGGAGCTCAGCGTTCCCACTCAGCAGACTCCCCGAAACAGAAAAGCAAGGACTCAGCCTCAGCAGTGGGGAGGCTGATGCAGACAGCACTCCTGACTGCAGCTGCTGTGTTTTACAAAGGAGGAGATCAGCGTCTATGTAGGAACAACAGCAAATGAGTCACCTACTCAGTATTTTTAACGAAAAGCAAAGCAAATTGGTTGGGGAAATATTATTTCAATTTTGAAAGACAAAACTGAAATAATTTAAAAGTGTCAAGTGAAGGCATGACTCAATACAACACGGACGTTGTTTAAAGGTGAGAGGCTGTATCCATACACAACTTACCATTTTAAAAACTTCGGCAGGAACTGCGTTAGTGTGAGTAGCTTCCAGATATTCTGTCCAGGAAAAATTTTCTGAATCAGGATAACCTGAAAAGAAAGACATACTGTATTTTGCCATGTATAATATGCCCCCAGGTACAATGTGCACCCACGGTTTTGGCCCACACTTTCAGGGGAAAACATCTTTCATTTCATTTTTTTTAATTCAAATTTTTATGTGTTTGCATTTTGTTTTATTCACAAAATCATTTCTATGTTTTGGCCACCTCTTTGTAAAATTTTGTAATGAATATTTTGTAAATAAAGGTATATTTAGCTACAATTTCCCATTTTCCCCATGTATGGCAACTTTTAGGACACCCTGTAGTGCTAGCCATGTACAATGCACACCCTTATTTTCCCCTCAAAATTTGGGGCAAAAAAAATGTATACATGGCAAAATGGTATAGTCTGATTCCTATGTACTGATAGGAAGAGACAGTCTGATTCCTATGTACTACAAGTCTGATTCCTATGTACTCTAAGTCTGATTCCTATGTACTACAAGACATTTCATATTAATAATAACACGTGCTGTTACCTCAATGCTCACTCTGAAGTGCCCGTGCTAAGAACTCACTTAACTCTTATGATAACTTCAGAGAAGGCTAAGGCATACTGGGATTCCAGCACGTACTCACTGGGCCATTCCTTCACTCAGTGAGGTTCAGCCGGTGGGTCAAGGTCAAACAGCAGCGCCAGCACTTGGCAGAGCCAAGTGATACCCAGGTCTCTGACTTCCAAACTCCATCAGAAGTTTGAAAAAACTCACAGTAAATTATCAGACCTCAAACTATGAATTGGACAGAAGATTCTGCTAATCCTTCCAATTTCTCCAATAATTCTATGTCTACTGGAGTTTTATTCCCATTATAATTTGTAATTATAATTTCCCAAAATTGCTATTTATCATTGCAATCTAAAAATATATATTGGCAGGACATAGTAAAAGCGCTCTGTTTAAACTTTCCTTCTAGCTCGGCTTGCTGTTTCTCCCTGTGTTTGTGTTCTCTAATCCTAATTACACTCGCTGGAGGTCTGTCTGTATCATGTTGTTTTCTCTATCCTCATAGTTAAGTACTTACATTTACTTGTCAGGTCCATTGTTTTCTTTTTTCTTCTTTTCTAATCCTTTTGTTTGCTGCTCTAACTATTATTACTTCCTCCCTGCTATTTCCCTTAGGTCTATTTTGTACTTGTTTTGTCAAAATGAATCGTAAACACATTTATTTTCATTTTTAAAAAATAAAACCATTTAAGACTCTGAACCTGCCATTGTTGCAATTAAATAAAGGTTTAGACAACTGGGTAAATGTTTACAAAATATGTGTTTTTTTCCACTTTTGCTCTCTAAAAAACAACTGTAAGTAGAATCTGTGATTACTGTCTTGGATCAATCATTAGCTAAATATTTATTTGGGATGCTTGTTTTTCATATGTGTTTAAAATACAGTATTCATAATAATATTCAGTTTACCACACTACCTAGTTTCAGAATGTAATATATTGTCGACAATTCCTTGTTTTAGAATGTGAGAATTTCTTTTTGGTACAAATTAGAATTAATGAAAATGTTTTTAGAAGTGTATATATATTTATGTATGTATGTGTTTTAGGGCATAGTATCAAAAGGCATTAATATAATCTAGTTGTATTACTCAAAAACCTGTTTATCATTTAAGCAGAAAACCTGAAGCAGTATGATAAAGTCTCTGAAATGACTATTTTTCTGTGTAATTCTCCTGCTTTTATGACAATTTTCCCTTCATTTAAAAACTGTTACTAAAATGAAATATATTCAAAGGAAAGTACACACACCAAGCAGACAGCCTGAAAATTGCTCACAGAGCTGGCAGCGCTGGAGAAGCTGAGCCAGACCAGAACCAGGACTGTCCAGAGCCCCGACCCTCCTCTCCGCCCGCTCCAGCCCCCTCCACTCCTCCTCCTGGAGAACTGCCTACCCTGGCCTCTAACCACGGAGACTGCTTTCTCTACTTGTGTTACTCCCTTTATATAAATGAAACCACACAGCCCGTGCCCATTGGTGGTCTGCCCCTACATTTCATCGCCCGGCCGCCTATAACTGGGCAGGGAGCCCAGAGCAGCGGCGCCCCACGGCGGCCCGGCCTGGGGACGGGGACCGGGAGTCCGAGCTCCCCCTGGAGGCCGATGTGCAGTCCTGCGAGGGCGAGAGGGCGGAACACAGACGGCTGGGTCCGGGACCCAGACTCCACCGTTTAAATGTGTTTATTCCTGTCCACCTCATGCCACTACATTTAACAGTTTAAAATTTCAGAAAAGGGCAATCTCTGAAGAAAACTCCCCGAGGTCCAAGCTGTGACTGTGGACATGGGTGGCTGAACCAAACCAAGAGAAAAGTGTCACAGGCACTGGGATCAAGGAACCATCCAGCCATTCAGCCCTGGATTCGCCAGGATGCTGGAAAACTCTTTAGGTGAAAAGGGAGACCCAGGTGACAAATTATCTTCAGTTAGAGACGAAGAATAATCCCAAGGGATCTAGACAGCAGCAAAAAGAGGGGCAAGATGTGGCGCAGAAGAGCCTGAGCCCTCAGAGAAGAGAGGAGATTTTCCAAACTGACCTGTCCCAGAAGAAGCAGGAGGCCACTTAGGATATGGCAGATAAGAGGGGCCTCAAGAGGGACAGCAGGGGAATCCCCGGGTGAAGAGACAGAAGCTGGGCTCTATGGAGGTCATTTCCCTCCAGAGGACACAAATACAGGACGAGAGCCAACAAGGAAGAACTCAAAGGTCAAGCTAAGATAAATGTAAGTTGAAACCTATCCAGGTCATGTCTTTCCCATAGCTCCCCACGTCACTCAGGGAAAGGGCAAGTCCTCACAGGACCTGCAGCCCCAGCAGAACCTGGCCCCCCACTGCTCTGACTTCATCTCCCCTGGACCCCGCTCCTGTGGTAACTCAGCAGACCCCCTCTCTTCTCAAGTTCTGGCATGTGCTGTGCCCTTCCCTGCACAGTTCTCCCAGACGCCCTCCAGACTCTCCACTTCTTCAAGTCATTACTCACACGGATGTCACATTCCCACCAAGTCCCGCCCTGAACCTCCTCCCCCAATATGTGCCCTTCCTCACCCCATTGCCTTTTTCTCTCCATAGCCCCGATCACCGTCTATCCTACTGTAGACTTGTTATTTCTTGTTTCCCTGCTCCATCAGAAAATAGCTGCCTTCTGATAGGACTAAGTTCACTCCACTGCTATTTCCTCACAACATATAGCTGGCACCGTATGGGGAGTGTCTGTTCAACGAATGAAATGAAACATATTTCCTAAATATATTAAATATATTTCCTATATATTAAATGTTACATTCTGAATGGAACTCTGATAAAGAGTCATCTGGCTGCTGGTGCTGGTGTTATCAGACGCACCATGAGAATAAGATAGTGTTGGCATATCAATGCTGGCTAACTTCCCAAGTAGCATGACAAGTGGGATGGCGCCCAGAGAAGGCCACCTGATGGATGGCATCTGTATAAGACAATGCTATACTCCTCATTTTCTTGTTCCATTTTAAAAGGGCCAATGTAGGTGTTATACTGGTTTTAGAATCTTGTTTAGATTATTTTTTGCTCCAGGAATAACGGACCAAGAAGAAACAACTTTTCCAGTGGAACATTCTAAAGAATTGGGATCATGAATAAATAGCACAATTCCTTAAGTCCCTGACATCTGGCCTAAGTGACCCATGGGATCCAGAGAAGCAAAACAACCAACTGGCCAAATCAAGAACCAAAAATTGTAAGTTCATGAGAAACAATTTTTAAAGTAATTAAAGAGTCTCGTTTAATAATCAGCAATAAAAAGGGATCTTCTAGGAGTCAGAGGAGCAGTTCTAGTTACAATAAACAGAATATTCATCATTACTACAGATGCTGAATAGACACTCCATCTAACTCCTCAATTCTACTGATGTGAAAAGTGAGACCTGGCATTTTAAGTGACTTACCCAAAGCAAAACAACTAATAATAAAGTCAAAGTCAGAGCCCTTGTCTCCTAACTTGCAATCTACAGAAATCAAAACTTCTAAAGAGATGCCTTGGGGTTCACTGACTGCTATGTAGGCTGTGGGGCCCTGAGTCCAAGAGAAAGCATCAACTGAGGATGAGGATGAGGAGTTCCAGGCTGTCCCAGTTAAGCTCCGAATGGTTTTTGCCATCATTTTAAGAGCCTGGATTATCTAAGACAGCCCCTCAGACAGCACTTATTTATTTCTGCTTCAGAAACCTGGCAAGGCAGAGCAACCCCACTGGCCAGGCCTCCCAGTGGCAGAGACTGAAGTTACCACTCACTGAGCACTGCCATTGCCCCAGAGGCTCTGCACAGACAGGAGAGCTCTTTACAGAAACAATCACCGCCCCAAGTGGTCACTAGACCACTAGCTGTCCTGTGTCAGACAGTGGTATACTGTACAGCACAGGACAAGAGGAGCACAGAGATAATCAGGTATCTCCATCACTGGTAAGCCTATTTGGGTTCACCCTATTTTGTTTCCAAAAAATATGTTTGCTGAGACAATGGAACACTTATGCACTGTTGGTGGGATTATAAACTAAAACAGATCTTTTAGAGTGAAGTAAGGGAAATCTTCAAAGAACTAAAAGTAGACCTTCCATTCGATCCTATGAACCCATTACTAAATGCCCAGAAGGAAAAAAAATCATTTTATCATAAGGACATTTGCACACAAATATTTACAGCAGCTCAATTCAAATTTGCAAAGATGTAGAAACAACCCAAGTGCCCATCAACCCATGGTTTTGTGTGTGTGTGTGTGTATATATATATATATATATATATATATATCTGAGAGTGTATTAATCCATGTATTCACACACACGCACACACACACACACACCACACCATGGAATACTATTTAGCCATAAAAAGATGAAGACTTTTCATGTTTAGTATTTACCAGATGGATTGGAGATCATCCCCTTAAGTAAATCATCTCAAGAATAGAAAACCAAGCATTCCATGTATTCAATAATATGTTAAAACTAGTAGA